AGCGGTCCCCGCGTGCCGCAGGTAGCCGGGCAACCGGGGCGTCGCGCCGGGCAGATGGCGTGCGCCCGAGCAATGGGCGATGGGCTTCCCGGGTGATGGAGGCGCCCACCGACACCGACGGGCCCGGGAGGGGGGGTGCGGGGAGGAAGGAGGTGCGGGGAAGGGAGGGGCGGGGAGGGGGGAGGCGCGGGGAGGAGGGAGAGCCCCCGGACGGCTGTGTGCAGAATCTCATCAGCTTCCGGCGAGGCCCCGGCGCGGGTCTGGGAGCCAGCCCCCCATCTCTGACCCGGAGCCAGCCCCCCTTCTCTGACCCGGAGCCAGCCCCCCTTCTCTGACCTGGAGCAAGCCCCCCATCTCTGACCCGGAGCCAGCCCCCCATCTCTTGGAGCCAGCCCCCCATCTCTAACCGGGAGCCAGCCCCCCATCTCTGACCCGGAGCCAGCCCCCCATCTCTGACCCGGAGCCAGCCCCCCATCTCTAACCCGGAGCCAGCCAGCCTCCCATCTCTGACCCGGAGCCAGCCCCCCATCTCTGACCCGGAGCCAGCCCCCCTTCTCTGACCTGGAGCCAGCCCCCATCTCTGACCCGGAGCCAGCCCCCCATCTCTGACCTGGAGCCAGCCCCCCATCTCTGACCCGGAGCCAGCCAGCCCCCCATCTCTGACCCGGAGCCAGCCCCCCATCTCTGACCCGGAGCCAGCCAGCCTCCCATCTCTAACCCGGAGCCAGCCCCCCATCTCTAACCCGGAGCCAGCCCCCCATCTCTAACCCGGAGCCAGCCCCCCCATCTCTGACCCGGAGCCAGCCCCCCATCTCTGACCTGGAGCCAGCCCCCCATCTCTGACCCGGAGCCAGCCCCCCATCTCTGACCCGGAGCCCGCCCCCCATCTCTGACCCGGGGCCAACCCCCCATCTCTAACCGGGAGCCAGCCCCCCATCTCTAACCTGGAGCCAGCCCCCCATCTCTAACCTGGAGCCAGCCCCCCATCTCTAACCTGGAGCCAGCCCCCATCTCTGACCCGGGGCCAGCCCCCCATCTCTAACCTGGAGCCAGCCCCCCATCTCTTCCGGAGGGCCGCAGGCCTGTAAGCTTTGCTCCCCAGGCAGGAAGGGGACCGTGTGGAGCGAGGCCGCGTCCCTGAGGCTCTTGGTGCGGGCGGAGGGTGGCCGAGAACGGAAGGGCTCTCAGAGGGTCCAGTGTTGTCCCCCGCGAGTGGGGCAGGCCCCCGAACATTAACTCCACAGAGCTCGGAAGACCTCCCTCCTGCCTCGGAACGGGTTCTCCAGACACGGAAGTACACACTACAGCAGTGCACACGTGTTCACTGTGTGGTCAGAATCGTTTTGTGGATCAAAACACGAAAACACCAAGTCAGTCTGGCTCAGGCCTGTAACCCTAGCCAGTCGGGAGATAGAGAGGCGATCATGGTTCAAGGCCAGTCCGGACATAAACATTCACGACTCCATTTCAACCCATGGCTGGGCAGGGTGGAGTAGGCCTGTGATCCAGCCTTTCCTGCTATGTGGAGGAGCACAAGTAGAAAGTGTGACCTTGCTCAGACTGGCCCAGACATAAAATGAGACCTTATCTCAAAAATAACCCACATAAAAAGGGAAAAAACACGACCTAAGTCTATTCACGGTTCAGCAACTTGCCCCACGCCCCACGGCTGGTGGTGTATGTTTGGGCTCTGACTTTTTTACCGCTGGAAAAGGCATCTGGTCTTAAGTGACTGCACCCCCAAGGAGGACCCAGCAGTCAAAGGAGATGGGGGGGGGAGGACCACAGACCCCAGATAAAAGAGGGAGGGACTCTTTGGGATCAAAGAATAAAGCTTAAAATTGGGATGCCCCCGTGTATCAACTTCGACATTTGAAGAAAGGGCATAAGATTAGATCATTCAACCAAGAGTGGAGAGAAGAAACAAAACAAGACCTTCCCATTCCCTTTGAAGTCCATCAAGTGTTGGGGACAGAAACATAGCTTCAGAATGGGCGCACCGTGTACAGACTTCCTTTGGCTACAATACGTTTTCCTTACAGCTTGGAGAGCTGCTTACACGTGGGTAGTGGAGCCTCTGATGCTGTCCATCTCCTCCAGACTCCTCTTTCACCAGAACAGTAAAGAAGGTTGCATTAGAAGGTTTGTTTGGCCAGCCAGGCATGCGGGTACAGGCTGGCAATCCCAGCAAGTGGGAGGCTGAGGCTCGACCATCTCCAGCATCACATCTGCCAGTGCTGACGTGGTCTCCTCCTGGCACAGCTTCGTTTGTTGCTGTGTTGTTTTATCCCCAGGACCGTGCTGAGTCCATCAGCTTGGTAGTCTCATCTCAAACAGCAGACCCTGGACCCCAACACTAGACTTGTGAAATGCGTTTGGCAAAACTTGTTGATTTAGAAGTGGTTTACAGTGGGAGAACAGGACAGGCCTGGATTGGGACTCGGTCCTCCGTGGGCCCAGTGAGTTCTACCCCGACTCTACGCTGCAGCCCCAGCCCCTGCTGGCCCCAGAACTTCTCTAGTGCAGCACACGC